ACACAACTGGTTAGCTAACAATATGCCAATACATGAACACCTGCGAAGAAAGGTTCAATCCCGTTGTTGCCCAGCAAACGTCTGTACTGTGTAGCGGATGACGATGAAGCATACATAATAAGACTAGGCCTAGGCCCAGGCCTAACTTGACAGTGCAATAATATGTGATAGAAAGTACACTTTCGAAAGAAATAAATTAAAATAAAATTTAAAAAAAAACAAACAATAACTAAGAATAATTCAGTTGCAGAGGTACCTTGTACGTATTATACAATGCTAACAATGCGGCTCTTGTATCTCTAGCTAGGACAAGGCATCCGTGTGCAAAGCAGTGGTGTTTGTCAGGGTTGCCAGATAGCCGACAGGCTTCAAGGCCAAACACACGTCATCTCACGGCCAAATTCGGCCAAACTTGTTTTCGATATCGGCCAAAATTCGCCCAGATTTTAATCCGATTATAAGACAACAGTGGATACATAATATTTATTTAAAATACAAACATTACACGAAAATCAAATGCCATTTGTTTGAAATTGGAGAAATTAAAATGATATACACAGAAAAATCTTTCACTGTTTTTATAATTAATCACCATAATTAAATGCACAGCTAGCTATATCATAATATTAAATATGTTCTATAATTAGTCGCTAGCATGTTTGCCTATTTAAATTCACATTAAGATCGACTTCTAAATTTTATTTAAATGTATTAAATAACATACTGTAGTCGCTCCATAAAGCAATAATTTTAAGGGCCTGTTATAGAATTTTCAATGACAAATTCATGGCTCTCCTAATTAGAATGAAAGTTACATTAGTAAGGTAACACAAGCCGATGTTAAAACAAACCTATGAAAACTTTAATAAATACATTTATCTAAAACTTTCTAAATTTGCCTCGGAATGTTATTGTTGCAGTATACGGTACTTAAAACAATAAATCAATGTCGCTATCAGAACTATGTTCTTCATGATTCCCTATACAACCTAACCCCGAGTAACTTGAATGAAGTCTCAGCAACACTTACTTGAAATTGGATTTGACATTGGACCCGAATGATCACATCGAGCATTTGATGGCACTTCACATAAAGAACACTGCATAATTTATTATATTTATTAATATATGGTACAAACTTGCAATAAACTGTCTTCATAAAGTTTTAAACGAGGATAAACTTCATAAAAAAAAGTATATATTTCATCCGAACATTTTAAATTATTAAATGTAACTGCAATCTTTTAAATAAACTCTTTTATGTCAACTTGGCCAAAAGTGGGGGAGGGAGGGGGCTACATTAGGCGTTTAGTGCGAGTACGACTAGGCCTACGAACAATGTAAGTAAGGTACACGGTTAGAATCAAAGCTTTTGTACAAACAGGACAGTAGCCACGAGAATTGAAGTGGTCAGGTTGCGATTTAAGCGCGAGCACTGATGATTGGGGCTAGCGGGGCCGCCAAGGGCCCCAGTCGGTGTTCAGGGTTCCGGAGCCATTAAACCATTAAACTGTAATATTATTGTAAACCGGCATTAAACTGTACAGGAGTGCGCATTTTTCATGCTGCTGCTTGGTTTTTTCCATTCTTGGTCTGCCTGTTTTTGAAGTCTTAATTTTTCAATTATTTAATTATTTATTTTATTTTCTATTTGTTTATTTATTTACTTTATTCATTTATTTATATCTATTTAACTTATAATAAATAAAATTAAAAAAAATATTCTGATTAATATAGGCTCTTTAATATAAGATATAATATAATTTAATTTTTTTAAATTCATGGTCATACCTTTTTTCGGCGCCTTGAGACGATTTTATTGTGGAAGGCGCACTAAAAATATCCCACCATTACCATTACCATTAATATTAACATTAAGACATTAAACTGTAATATTATTGACTAAGACCAATCAACACATGACATATCAACACATATCAAAATTATTATTTTTAATCTTTCCTCGTCGGTGCTTGCATAAAACGTGATTTGGATCTAACATGTGTATAATGATATTGATAAACAATCGAAATTCTCTGTGCAATATTATGCTAAACATTTACAGAGTGGACTTCCTTATGTGTGGTTATATTAGACTGTAGACCTAATTCAACAAAATACATAACACATATTAAAATTATTAAGTTAAACTTTCTACTTCGGTGCATGAATATAACGTAATTTTGGGATATATGAGATTTACATAACATTTGAGAATGTACTGAATATAAAATCTTAAATATTTTACATTTTATCAGCAATCTATCAGATATTACTGGGATTGGTTATACTGCAAAGCCTTCTGAACCCCTGCAGTACTAAAACTGGGATCCAACAGGCAGTGAATATTCCATTTTTATTTAGTGTAGATGTTTTTTACATATTTTTATTTTATTTTTATTCTGTTTATTTTGTATGATTCATATGTTATATTTTCCACAGAAAGATAAATGAATGCCTGAACTGATATTTTATGGGTTTCATATTACTTTCTGTACAAAACAGATATCATAAATCATCTATTGTCCAACTGTGTGCATTGAATATTTGACGACGACGATAATGTCTCCAAATTCTCAACCGTAACTTAGGCTACGGGCCTCCCTTGACACTTCGCATCAAAGGGCCTGTTAATTAATCTTGCACGGCTGATCCTCATCATCATCATCTTCTTCATCATCATAATTATTAATTGTCCATAGTAAAGTAGGGAAAAACTATGAATTCAGAGTATATTCAATAATAGACGTCTCATAATGCACGAAGTGTGTTTCAAAGCATCTAGAAAACAAAAACTTTTCGAAGGAGAAGCCGAAGACCCCCCCCACCCCATATCTAAAATTTGTCTTCCAGCGACAAAACAAGCTAGCTATCTTCTCATGACCCCAATAGCAATGGTAAATTCTGGATCCGCGTTTTGCATGTATTTAAGAGAAGTGCTTAAAAAAGGTATATTTACAGTTATATTTATTTATAGAAAATACTGCATACTATAACTATCATTAATAAATATACAGATAAAGGCATGTTTTTTGTCTTGGCTTGGTACGGTAATTTAGTGAAGAAATGAATATATGTCCTAGGCAAGTGTATGGAATCTTTAGTTTAATTTTCTGCAAAAGCTCACTATGTGTAGTAATTGACCTACTTGATTTGGATAAAAGGTAAGCCCACTATTCACTAACTTTCAACTGAAGAAAAAATGCATCCTAGTTTCTTAATCAGTCACAAATGTTACACTAAAGAGAAGAAAATAATGTAAACTATAATTAACGTTCCTGAGTTATGTTAAAGAGAGGGTAGGTTGAGTCTAAACATACAGGTGGAATTTAGCCCTTTTTCTCCTATTTATAATGTGGTCTGTCAAAAAGTTGTCAGATTGAAACTGAACAGCCGTACCGGTGGCTATACGGCCCTGACAAAATAACATAGGCCTATCCAAAACAAGTCTATGTTTTATTAGGCCTATTGAAAAAAATGTAAACTTTTCACAAAATTCGGCAAAATTCGGCCAAATATATTTTGGCCGTGACTTTTCAAACGTTACGGCCAGGCGAATTTTTATGCGGCCAGATTTGAGGAATCTGGCCGTCAAAAAGGCCAAATAGCAACCCTGTTGTTTATCCATGAAAAAGGCACGCCGGGATAGTTTGCCTTACCAGGAAAAGGTGACGTAATCTAGCTTATGACGTATGCAAGCTAACTATATTGTGAGTGTGACGTCACCAAAAAAATGAATATTTTCTATTATAACCAAACTATTGATAACTACACGGTTTCTGGGCGTAAATTCCCTTAATACGAATTAAGGGTTGCACAATCTCCTTGCCATACAAATTACAGTTGAGAAATACGGGTAGCTGAAGTTTTTCTCGCAAATCTGACTACGAAACCATATCCAAATTTCACGTTCCACTTTTGACCCTGATTTGTTGCTTCGAGATCTTTTTACAATGATTCTTTTTCTATATGTGATCGTGTACACAAGATTTCTTTGCATTGATAGTTTAATACTACATCGATATGATTCTTGTTCATTATAAACAGAATATCATTAATTTTCCATTTGCCCAAAGTAGACTTTTTCAATTTTTGACTCTTATCAACTTTCCATAAATAAATCTTAGTTTCATTAAATGTGTACTGTTCAAGTTGTTTTAGTTGCTCCCAGTGCATAGGTCTATTATTACATTATAAAAAGATCATTTGCATACACTGTACACTAAATTTAATATGAATAACGCAAGCCGGTTTCAACACCACGATCAAATAAACACGGTATAAATATTAATTTCCAAACGTCATTCACTTATAGGCCTATAATTCCAAATTCTCATTGATTTTCTATTTTTGCTGTGTAACCGGTTTTTAAAACTTTTATGTCTTGTTTTATGTATCTTGAAGTTTCATATAATAATGCTCTTTCAGTCCGTTTATTTCAATGTCTTTTTTTGTCTTAAAGTTATAATATTGTTATAATAGCAAGGGAGTGGCCTAAATATTTTTGTACCGTATGTCTTAAACTTTAACAATGTTATGATGTCTTGCCAAGGAAAGCAATTTTCAGAAAATGTACTTTTAATAGGAATAATTAGTATCAGTACTGTATTATTATTCTGAGTTCATGAAAAGAAACTTGTAGAGCGACTTCACACGCAATGATTGTTACATAGTACATTGAACTTAGGTCTTTCTTAAGTGATTTATAAATCATGTTATTGTTTGTCTTATTCAAGTAGGGTAAGTTTTTAATTTATTTTTTATTGACGTAGGCCTATACGATTGATATTTTAGCTATAGTCAAGAACTAATTGTCAAAAACGAAGAATTTTTATTTGTTTATACTATAGGGTCTACTAGATATTAGGCCTATGCCAAGCTATTATCTTATTCTGCCATTCAATTTATAACAAACCTAAAGTTAACGAATTCATCACCTACATAATTGGAAGGTTTGGGGTTAAAATTATTTTTTGGAAATATATTTTTTACCTTTGCAGATTATACCATGGCTGAGGCATTAAGTAATATTTCAACTACGCCCGAAGCAAAGGATTTACTGCACGACAACACGTGGCTGATAGCTCTGCGATTCGTGGTCGTTGGTGTTGGAATCGTTCTCAACATTGTTGTCACTGGAGTGTTCATGTACACACGAATGTATAGAAAGTCATTACTACACGGATTAATTGTCCAGCAATCGTTCGTAGATTTCTTTGGTTGCTGCCTGTTCCTTATATTCTATAATCAAGACGCACCGAGTGGAAACTGGGGAAAAGCTTTTTGCAAGTGCCGTAGTATTTTCTGGTTTGTTGTAATAACGTCCACGTACAATCTTCTGATGATAACCTTCGAACGATTCATTGCGGTCGTGCATCCGATCACTTACAGAAAAAGACACATTGTACAAAGATCTCGACTGTTTTACATAGTACCATACATTACTTCTTTCTTGATTACGTTTCATCTCGCGATTATCGCCGATATCAACGAGGATCTAATCGGAGAGTGTCAGTATACTAAATCAAATCCTGAATTCAAATTTTTTTCAGGCTTTTTCATTTTTACGGCTTTTTTTTTCTTCCCGGCATGTTTTATGTCTTACTGCTACGGTCGGATCTTGCTGGTGTTCCGTAAAAGGGCAAAGGAACGGAAACAGAGCGCAGCAGTGAGTGACCATGGAGGTACTGACAAACCAAATAAAAGATTGTATCATGTATCCACACAAAGAAACCTGGTGTACACGATGTTTTTCGTCGTTATTGGATTTATTTTTACTACTTCTCCTAACGTCACTATGTATCTTGTGTATACTATTTGCAGGTGTTTTGAATACAGCACCATTGTTGCACACGAGATTACGGTGCTTATCTACACAAGCAATATGTGTATTAACCCGATTATTTACGGAGCGAAGATGAATGAATTCCGCAGTGGTGTGCTAAAGATTTGGCGTAAAACAATTATGTTTGCGACGGGTCGTGATTTTGACGACAAATCAACTTCCATTGATAACACTCTATCAATGAGTAAAACAGATATGCCAAATTGATGAGAATAATACCAGAAGCAATGGTAATTTTGTATATATAATGTTATGCATAGCGTTTAAACATGGACCTATTAATATGTCCATGGTTTAAACATGTCTTTATATCTTTCTAATATCATTTATACCGAATGGATGTATTGCCAAGTGAAGAGTGTCGCATTTAGAAAAATAAAAGTGGCATTGTTACTCTCTTTACGGTTCTGATTTTGGCAGTTCAACAATTGATTCTGTACAAAAAATAATAATAATAATAATTGTATCAGGCATAGACTTTCAACGAAAAATTCAACAAAAACACATGCAACTGCCGAATCAAAAACCAGTGCCCACTCAACGGTAAATGCTTGACAAGCGGGGTAATATATAAAATCACGGTATCCACACCAGATGAAGTCAAGGACTACATAGGCCCAATTGAATGCGAATTCTAAATAAGATTCAACGTAACTCCATTGAACTCTCAAAATCCATATGGAACCTGAAAGACAACCGCACACAACACCAAATATCCTGGTCAATACTAAAACGGTCATTATCTTGCTAACCCAGCTCAAAGAAATGTAATCTATGTCTATGGGAAAATATTATAGTAAAAGCTCAGAACGTTAAACAAAAGAAAAGGACTGGTTTCCAAATGTCGCCATGAGAACAAGTTAACAATGTATTGGAAATTTTCCCACGGTCTGTAGCACCTGACCATTAGCTTACAGCATAAGTCTTATATAAAGCAGAATCTGCGCCTAACAGTGTGTACCTCAAGATCGCTTAAAGCGTGAAACTTTAAGTAGTACAATAACTTCATGACGTAACCGAAGTTTTACCCCTATTTTCATTTATTGTATGTATGTATGTATGTATGTATGTATGTGTGTATGGGTGTATGTATGTATGTATGTATGTATGTATGTGTGTATGTATGTATGTATGTGTGTGTATGTATGTGTGTGTATATGTATATATATATGTATATATATATATATATGTATATATATAACTACTAAACAGCAATGACCTAATTATAGAGCGCATAATGCGGGGACGTCTATACGCCTAAATGCAGAGTCTTGATCATTTGTGCTCTCAGGGGTAACAGGACCAATGGGGCCACAGGGCTCTTCTACTAATACCCCAGCATTCTAAGAAAATTCACGTTCTCTATTAAAAAATTAACCAACGTAAGATTATTGTGTTGATATTAAAAAAAAAAATAATATTATAATGAAGGGGCACTCCACCAGTACCTATCATCTGTAGCATTGGTGGTGGTACAGAGTGGGTTGTGGCTACTTAATTGTTGTAACAAGATTACATTTTTAAAAATTACCAAATAAGTCTCCTAACCTAGAAAACGGTTCCGCAACCGATGAGTCCCATAACCTCTTCAAATTGACAAATGAAATAGAATATAATCGGTAAACAAATGTTTAGGCCTACTTTTGTAATACGTTCGTTATCAATAGCTTAATGTTAAATAATATAGGCCTACTATCAAAACATGTCAGTTTTGTTCATTTCAATATGCTGGGCTTTCAGATGAAAATAATAACATCATTTATATGACGGGAAGTCATCAAGTGAAGGGTCGTTTATTTGAGTAGTTTATAATTTTTATACCAAAAATATAAAAATAATAAGCTCCCTCGAATACCTACCCCCGCAAAAATCCACTTAAAATAAAGAAACATATGGTAGCTAGCCTATCTAATATATTTGGAGTGAATCACTGTACAATAATTATAATAGTATAAGGTGGAAAAAGTGATAGACCGTGTTATACAGTTTATACCTGCACTTTGTCATACCCATTATACTACGTAGACACGTGCAGATCGAACCCTAGGCACTTTTTTCATAACTGACTAAAACGCACGCACATAATGGAGCTATAGATAAGCTAGAAAAGATAGTAGGTCGCTGCTAAACGTATTAACTACAATAATTATCACATGGCCATGTAGTTATAATAACAACATTAACAATATGCGGCAAAGATAGTTATTATTAAAATATATTGTAGGAGGATATACTTAGGAGCTTAATTGAAGTTAAATTTTAATTAA